TTTATTCCCCCAAAGAACTGTCTTTGCTGTTACCTGAAAATCTCTCCACCCCTAGCCCTGGCAACCACCAGTCTCTACTATGGACCCATTTATTCTAGACTTTTCTTTTTTAATATTTTATTTATTATTTTTATTTTATGTGTATGCATGCATTGCCTGCATGTAGGTAAGTGCACCGATGTTGTGAAATGCCAGAGGAGGACAGAAGAGACTGTCGGATCCCCTGGAACTGGTGCACACCTTTAATTCCAACACTCTCAAAGCAGAGGCAGGTGGATCTCTGTGAGTTCAAGGCCATCCTGGCCTACACAGTGAGTTCCAGGTCAGCTGGGCCTACAGGGGTTACAATTTCAGGAGAAAGAGTTGATCTTTGTTGTTGTTGTTGTTTTGAGACAGCGTCTCAAAGTGCCAGCGTTAAAGGCATGTATCACCAAGCCCAGCATGATTTTCGTTTTCGTGATGATGGGGGTCTCTATGTTGATTAGACTGGTCTCAAACCCCAACACTACAGCTATCCTGCCTCAGCTTCTTCAGTGCTGGAACTATTGGTGTGAGCACTTGTGTTGGGCTGTGACAATAACTTTATAATGTAACCAAATACTCAATCAGTGTTCAATTTTTTTTGTTTTCTTTTTGTCTTTTTGTAACTGAAACAGCCTGGACCTTGCTATGTAGACCAGGCTGGCCTCACTCTCACAGAGATCCACCTGCCTCTGTCTCCCGAGTGCTGGGATTAAAGGTGTGTACCATCATGCCCAGCTAGTGTTCAAATTTCTTGATATCTCATATATATTTTAATGTTTCTTTGAATCATGATCCAAATACATCCAAATTCATCCAAGATGAATACACTTTATGACTGATGATATTATAGTCTTCCGATACATGCATTTTACTTCCATGATAATATTTTTAAGTTTTTTCTTAATTTTTTAAAAAAAATTTATTTTTATTTTATGTGTATGTGTGTATTGCCTGCATGTATGTAAGTGTACCCATCATGCAATGTCCTCAGAGGACAGAAGAGGCTGTCGGAGCCCCTGGAACTGGAGTTACTGACAATTGTTAACTGCCATGTGGGTGCTGGGATTCAAACCCGGGTCTTCTGCAAGAACAGTGTTCTTAACCACTGAGCCATCTTTCTAACCCCCAACATTTTAAAGTTTTATAATCTTATATATTTTACTTCCATCTTCATTTTCTCTTGTCTTTTTTTTTTTTTATTTTTGTTTTCGAGGGTTTTTTTGCCTTGTGATTTATATTTTAAATAACTTAGGTCATTTATCCTGCAGTGGTTCTAACACTTTGGGCTTTACCGACTGTATTCTTTGAATACTATTTAAGATGACCAGATCATTTCCCTCTTTATTAATTTGGTTGGATGCAGGTCTTGGTTAGTGTTATGGGCTGAATATCTAAGGAGGAGATAAGAGTTGTACCTGCTTTGTCAGGTTTGTTGTGAATGTGATGCACATTGACATGTGTAAGGTGCTGACAGCAATACCAGGCTCCTAATGAACCCTTACTCAGAGTTAGTGTTTATCTGTATACAGGTAGCTGTGTTCCTGTAACCTTTGCTGCTATCTGTATGTGGGTCTTGGCCCTCACTGTGTCAATCTGAAGTCCTATAGAAATGGGCAGGAGAGCTGTGGCTCTGGATTCCCCTTCATTTCCTCCATGGGTGTGGCTAGCTGAATCTTTCAATCGAAAGGTATGTTATGTCTGTGCCAGGGCTGGGAACCCTAACTGAATCGTGACACTATCTTAGAATTAAAGACACCTGTAAGCTTACTTAAAGTTCTTTGCATTTCTTGGGGTACTTCAAAATTACTTTCCTATTTGGGGCTTTGAAAAACACTCAAGAATCGGGTTGTCATGTTCTCCGTGTAATAAGGGTAATTATTTTGAGAAAAAATTAAAAATTTTTTCAATATGGATCCATATATAAAGTACTGTGTATATAGAACACATTTAAAAGAAAAAGATTTAATGGACTGGAGAGATGGCTTAGTAGTTAAAAACACTGGCTGCTCTTGCAGAGGGACCTGGGTTCAAATTCCAGGACCTACATGACAACTAACAATCATCTGTAACTTCAGTTCCAGGATATCTGACACCCTCTTCTGGCCTCCAGGGACTGCTCAATGTGGGTACACTTACACACATTCAGGCATAACACTCATATACACATAAAATAAAAATAAACAAATAAAATACGGGGCTAGAGAGATGACTCAGTGAGCATTGTACTATATGAGTGCACCTACATATATGCAGGCATAATGCTCATACGCATAAAATAAAAATAAACTTTGAAAAAAGACATATTTTTTTCCTTCTGGCATCTATTTTATTTTTTAAATATTTATTGACTGATTTTTTTGGTTTCATATGTATGAGCATTTTGCCTGCATGTATGTAAGTGCACCCATGCAATACCCATGGAGGTCAGAAAAGAATGTCAGATCATCTAGAACTGGAGTTATGATAGGTGGTTGTTAGCTGCCATGTGAGTGTTGGAAACCAAACCTGGGTCCTTTCCAAGAGGACTCTTAACCACTGAGCCATCTCTCCAGCCCCTAAAATATTTATTTTTAATTATGTGTGTGTGTGCGTGTGTGTGTGTAATGTGTGTATGTGGGTTTGTGCACTTTGTGAATACGGTACCCAAAGAGTCTAGAAGGGGGTGTTGGATCACTGGAGCCAGAGTTACAGGTGGTTGTGAGCACCTGACATGAGTGCTGGGATCTGAACTCGGATCCTCTGGAAGAGTATGTGCTCCTAACTACTGAGCCATTCATCTCTCAAGCCCCTAGAATCCACTTCTTTTTTGAGTTACATAGTTCAGTATTTGAGGAACACTGTGATATTCAAGAATAATTTATTTTTAAGACATGGTCTTATGTATCCTAGGCTGGCCTCAGACTCACTATGTAGCTGAGGATATCCTTGACTTCTGATCCCCCTGCCTCCTGGCTCCTGACTGCTGGGATTCATAGTTTCACTACGCCTGTTGCTCGGAAGTAAGCTCTCTACCAATTAAGCTACATCTGTAGCTCTCCAGAAAGAATTGTTTCACTCTTTTTTCAAAAATATTTTATTATTTTTATTTTATGTGTATGAGCTGTATTGCTTGCATGGGTAATAGGTGCACCCGTGTCATGCAATGCCAGAGGAAGTCAGAAGATGGCATTGGATCCCCTAGAACTGGAGTTATAGATAGTTGTTAGCCACCATGTGGGTGTTGGGAATCGAACCTGGGTCCTCTGCAAGAGCAGTTAATGCTCTTAACTCCTGAGCCGTCTCTCTAGCCCCCTTGTTTTACTCTTAAAAGAATGTTCTTTTTGGAAAGTTATAGAAGAACTTGAAATAATAAAAATGTTTATATTAAATATATAATTTTCCCAAGTCTGCCATAATAAATAGTGATAAAAAACAACAAATATTTATTCTCTCAGTTCTGGAGGTGAGAGGTCTGACAATCCTGTCTCTAGCTTCTGATGTCTCTGGTTTTTTTTTTTTGGTTTGGTTTTTTGAGACAGGGTCTCCTTGTAGTTCCAGCTTGCCTGGAAGTCACTATGTAGACCAGGCTGTCCTTAATCTCACTTGGCCAAGATGCCCAACGAGATCTTTAATTAAAACTTCAAAGACTCTTTTTCTATTGGGGATTAGGACATGGACACTTCCCTTTATTGGGGTTGGGGGCGGGCAGGGAGCACCTTCATTTTTCTACAGTAATTGAAAAATGAATTATTGATCTCTATAACCTCTGACACTCCACCAGTCCTCCACTGATAGTCCCAGCTAGGGAAGCCTTCAGACGTGAATAATCCTGCAGAACCTGAACACAGACCCAGAAGAGAAGCAGGTGATGGCTGAGCGCACGCACAAACACACACACACACACACACACACACACACACACACACACACACACACACACACACAATTAGGGAAAGTCAGGAGAGATGTAAGGTCTTCCCTGGTACAGAAACTTTGTACAGGTGTCTCTGCATGGTGAAGGCCCCTAGCTCGTCAGTAAAGTAAAATTCTTCAGTGTCCCTTCTTCCTCCTGCAAGTCTAAGGGCACAGGTTGGGACAGGATGAAGAGTGGGTATGTCAATCACTGGTTGGTGGATTTTGTTTTGTTTTGTTTTGTTTTGCTTTTAATGGGATCTCACCTTGTTACCCTGGCTGGTCTCAAATTCCTAAAACATTCCACCTGCTTCAGTCTTCCAAGCAGCTGAGAATACAGGCATGTGTCACCACACCCAGTTTCATTTGTGGTTTTTAATATTCGACTCAAGTATGAGGGAAGCCCAGTACAACAACACTGGTACTAGAAGGTTCCCTGGGAAGCCAGCACAGAGGTGGAAATCACTGCCTAGTGTAGTGGTGTAGTTCTTGTGGGTGGATAGGGAATTCCCCTTGGTCCTGGAATGTCCTTATACTGAGCTCAGGCAAGGCATGACTGACACCCAGGTTAGATCCTGGCTCAGGGCCACAGTGGGACAGTGGTCATTGTTAAATGAGAACTGAGGTAGGTGATGTCAGGGTGGGCTTCTTCTCTCTTACCCACTAGAGAATCTGGAAATTACCACACGATTCTTACTAACAAACCCATCAAAGGATGTTTGATGGGCATGTGAGAAAAACAGAACCAATGAGTGTAGTTTTTAAAAAAATAAATTAGAATACTGTCATCCTTAAGAATTCCAGAATTCAGTGTTCCATATGCAACCCAAAACTTCCACAAGTTCATCACTGGGGCTGGGTATGTATCTCAGTGTAGAGTACTTACCTAGCATGCATGAGACTTATCATTCAATTGCCAACAACCCACTCACCCCAAAAATACCATCGCCCAAAGAAAGCTCCTATGGGCATTCTGTGAAATGCTCTAGCAGCAAAGTTCTGTGTTTATCTAAATATTTCATATAAACAAAGCAGCCTCCTTGTTGGAATGTGACCTCACTAATGACTTACCTTTTTTTGCACAGAACCCAACATATCTTCCAAAGGAAGAAGTCTTATTGGTAGATTGAACACTGCCCCTCCAATCATTGGGAAAGGAGTGACAGTGGGACCAGGCTTCTCTGTGGATGAGTTTTCTACATCTGTCCTCACTGGGAAGCTGACTACCGTCTTTCTTCCAGTTATCTACACCATCGTATTTGTGATTGGCTTGCCTAGTAATGGCATGGCCCTCTGGGTCTTCCTTTTCCGGACAAAGAAGAAGCACCCTGCTGTCATTTATATGGCCAATCTGGCCTTGGCAGACCTCCTCTCTGTCATCTGGTTCCCCCTGAAGATCGCCTACCACCTTCATGGCAACAACTGGACCTATGGGGATGCTCTTTGCAAAGTGCTCATTGGCTTTTTCTATGGCAACATGTACTGCTCTATCCTCTTCATGACCTGCCTCAGTGTACAGAGGTACTGGGTCATTGTGAACCCCATGGGGCACCCCAAGAAGAAGGCAAACATTGCTTTCGGTGTCTCCCTGGGAATCTGGCTCCTGATTCTATTGGTCACCATCCCTCTGTATGTCATGAAGCAGACCATCTACATTCCAGCCCTGAACATCACCACCTGTCATGACGTGTTGCCTGAGGAGGTGCTGGTTGGGGACATGTTCAATTACTTCCTCTCCCTGGCCATTGGTGTCTTTCTGTTCCCGGCCTTCCTCACTGCATCTGCATATGTGCTCATGATCAAAACACTCCGGTCTTCTGCCATGGATGAACACTCGGAAAAGAAGAGGCAGAGGGCCATCAGACTCATTGTCACCGTCCTGGCCATGTACTTGATCTGCTTCACTCCTAGTAACCTTCTGCTTGTGGTACATTATTTCCTGATTAAAAGCCGAGGCCAGAGCCATGTCTATGCCCTCTACCTCATTGCCCTCTGCTTGTCCACCATCAACAGCTGCATCGACCCCTTTGTCTATTATTTTGTTTCCCAAGATTTCAGGGATCACGTGAAGAATGCCCTTCTTTGTCGAAGTGTCCGCACTGTGAATCGCATGCAAATATCCCTAAGTTCCAAGAAGTTCTCTAGGAAATCAAGCTCTTATTCTTCAAGTTCAACCAGTGTTAAAACCTCCTATTGAGCTGTACCCTAGGATATGGAACCTGCTTAATGTTCTGTGCGTAGGTGGAAATGGGGCTGCCATTTCCTAGGCAAGCTGGTCTCAGCACAGATCATAAACATGCAGCTCCTCCTAAGAGTTCCGGAAACTTCTTTGCGTGAGAAAAGTCCCCTACTTTAATTACCCTGGATATCAGTATCAGAATTCTGCTACTCAGATGTCCCAGAAACTGAACTGATAGAAACACATTTGTCAGGAGGTGACAAGAAGACATAGACTTGCAAAAACTATACCTGGCAAGATGACTAAGTTCCTAGCTGAAATGACTTCTACAGTCCATCATAATTTTGTAAGGACTTGAGGGTCCTCAGTCCTCAAGAGAGCATCAGTGTAGTTGACTTTCACAGATGTGAAAGATGAGGAAACTGAGTGACGTTCCTCACTGGATTTCCAAACAGTAACAGTGAGCTTGCATTGGACAATAGAATTCAAATGCTCAGTGATCTTCATTCTTGTATCAAAACCACTGGGAGTTTTGTTAGATATGTGGGGTCCTCAGCTGACACTGACCTGAGTGGTGTTTATGAACTCAAAGGTTTGAGAACCAGGGTCTGAGCACTGCTTCTTGCTAGGGAACCTTGGTAAGATTTGAAAAGAAAGGCCAACAGGAATGTTTTGTCTCTTAATGGTCAGTATAGAATGAGATTTGCCTTTTGGCTTATTGGAATTTTCAGTTACACTGCTACTCCTTTGAGTTTTTATATGTACATTATTCAAGAAAAATAAAATGAGGATCTTAAACACGTGAATACGAATTTTATAACTTTTTATTGATGTCAATTTGATTGTCTTGCCAACTACCACTAATTTTTTTAAATTGCTATTTAAATGTATCATACAATATGACGCTTTCCTGTATGTATGTCACTGTAGCCTGGGGTCGCCTCCCCCTGCTGTCCTTGTCCCCTTCCCTCCCCACCAAAATACCTCCCCCATCTGCTTTCACATACCACTTAGTATTTTTTAAAGCTATCGTTGAAATATTTATTGTCAGTTTTGTTCACCTGTTATCAAATATGAAATTAAAGTCTTCCGAGTGTGAACTACATCCTTTTGTAAAATAGCACAAACAAAAGCTACATGCCTCGAAATGTCTATACCGTTATATTTGTGACTTAAAAAATTATTTTATTGTATGATTCATTCATAAATAACATGACTTTGTTTTTACAACTCCTTTCTGAGCTGCGTCCTTTGTTTTATTTACTTGTCTGAGGGAGAGAAAGACTATATCCTCCTAAGATACTGTGACATTCACACTGGGTTTTCTTTTTCTACAGTTCTAGGGATCCAACCTGGGCCTTATGAATTCACATCACCTAAAACTTACATTTCACTTATTGTGTGCACATGTGCCTTTGTGCAGTCAGGGTTGAGTGTGCCATAACATACCTGCAGGAGTTGGTTCTCTCCTTCCACCATGTGAGTTCCAGGCATTGAAGTCAGGTGGTTATTCTTGGTGGTAGGCATTTTTACCATCGAACCATCTTGTTGGTCTATCATTTTTGTTGTTGTTTATTCATTTGTTTTTTTGGGACAGGGTCTTCCTGTAGCCCCAGCTGGCCTGGAACTCACTGTGTAGACCAGGCTGGTCTCGAACACACAGAGGTCCACCTGCTTCTGCCTCCTGAGGGGTAGAATTAAAGGTGTGTGTTGCCATGCCCAGCACCATTTTTTTACTCATAAAAGAAAAAATACAGTACAAGTTGATCTGCAATGACTGGTTTCCCTTAAGCAGTATGTTCTAGAATTCTTTCCTGGCTAGAGAGATGACTCAGAGGCTAGGAGTGTGTATTGCTCTTGTAGAAGATTCAAATTTAAATTTCAACACCCAAATATCAGGGAGCTCACAGCTGCCTGTAACCCCAACTCCAAGAGATATGACACCTCCGGCCTCAGTGGGCACCTGCACTCATGTGCACACACCCACATACAGCCACATGCATACACATAATTAAAAAGTAAAAATAAATTATTTTTAACAGTGTTTTTACTACAGGGCTGGAGAGATGACTCGGCAATTAAGAGCATGTATTGCTTTTACAGAAGACGCAAGTTCTCTGCTAGCTCCCACATCAAGCTGCTCATAACTACCTGTATCTCTAGCTTGAGGGGGTCTGAAACCTGGCCTTTGAGGGCACCCACACTCATGTGTGCATACTCACACATACACACAAACACATATACATAATTTGAAATAAAACTATGGGGGTTGGAGAAATGGCTCAGGAGTTAAGAGAGCTTGCTATTCTTGCAGAGAACCAGGGTTTGATTCCCAGTACCCATGTGGCTGCTTACAACTCTAACTTCAGTTCCATGGGACCTGACACTCTGCTGGCCTCTAAGGGCACCAGGTGGGCATGTGGTACACATACATGCAGGCAAAACGCTAATACATATGATATAAAATAAGAATGCCTTGAGAAGATAAAACTAGAAAAATAAAATAGTTCTTTCCACATATGCTTCTACAAATTGACCTCCATTTTAAAAAGTTACAGATCTTTACTAGTCTGGATATAGTACAATGTATTGTCACTTCTTGATGGCTCGGTGAGCTTTGCTACCCTACACTTTGTTGTTGCTTTGCTGTTAAAACAGTATTGCGTTATACATCTGTGCATGGACATCCTTGAGCATTTTTGCAGGATACATTTCTAGAAATGGTCAGCTCAAAAGTTGCATGTTGGGGCCAGAGAGATGGCTCAGCAGTTAAAAGCACTGGCTACTCTTGCAGAGGACCCAGGTTTGATTCTCAGTACCCACCTGGTGGCTGACAACTGTCCATAACTCCAGTTCCAGGGATCCGATGTTCTCTTCTGACCTCCACAGGCATTGCACAACACAGTTACACTTACATTCATGCAGGCAATACATTCATATACATAAAATAAAAATAATAAAATATTTCTTTAAAAGTTGCCTGTCTATTTTAGGGCTTGGGCAGGTGATGCAGGGGTCATAGCTTAATGGCAGAGCATTTTGCCTAGCATCCATGTTCACAAGACTCAAAGCCCCATGTTTGATCTCCACCAGAGAGAGGCGGAGAATAGGTTATGCCTATCTTAAATTTTGATAGCTTTTGCCAAATTGCTTTCAGAAATTTATACCACTACCAAAAAAAGTACATTTGTACCCATTTCTTGAATGCTTGTCCACATTTCCTGCCTGCAGTATTTTGATTGGGGGGGCAGGTGGGACCGATGTTATCCATCTGTTTTAAGTTGCACAGGAAAAGCTTCATAGCTTAGCAACTGAGATACAGGGCCTGTGCTGGGCTGAAGTCTAACTCTATCACTTAGGTTTGGGAAGTTTTTGTTATTTGTGAATTAACTGTGTCTTCCTCATAAGGTCATGAGGAAGCTACTCATAAGCTACTGAGTATGTTTATTACGTAGCATAATTACTGTTGTGGTAGTTCCCATACCCAAGGTTTTGCTTTCTGCAGATCAGGTACCCACAGTCATACTGGTCTGAAAATACTAAATGGAAATTAGCAGAAAAAAGCAATTTGTAAGTTTTAAATTGTGTGCTGTTCTGAGTGGTGGGATGAAATCTTGGCTGTTCTGTGATAAATCATCCCGTTGTCTAGGGACTCCAAACTGCATGCCACTGCCCAGCTGTGCTTGGCTATCAGTTCCACTGTGGGTTATCAGTGGCTATCATTATCAGTGTGTATCTCAGAACTTGTATTCAAGTAACCCTTGAACCCAAAGAGTGCATCTGTTTATGAAAGAGGTGAAGATCCAAGAAGACGTTTGGAGAGGAAAGATGAGACCACGTTCACATAACTTTTATACAGTATATTGTAATTGTTCTATATTTGTCTATTGTTACTCTCTCACTGTGTGTGCTTTGTTAATTGAATTTCATCACTGGTAAGTGTAACATACTCAGGCTTCAAGCACTTACTGGGCATCTTGGTATGAGGGCCCTGTGAAGTTGAACTTGTGTTACTGGGGAGAAAGAAAGCTAAACAGGATTAAAAGGCCTACAGAGGCCCCGAGGGCCATCTATGAGCCTATCGAATGGCAAAAGCCTTTTTGGTATTTGCCATTCAGTAGTCATTCTTTTTCATTTTTTTATAATATATATTTGTTGATGATTTTAAAAAATTGAACAGGCTGGCAAGACAGCTCGGCAGGTAAAAATGCTTGCCATGCAAGCCTAAAGTACCTGAGTTTGGTTCCCAGAACCCATGGTAGGAGAGAACCAACTCCTGAAAGTTGTCTTCTGATCTCCACATGTGTGCTGTGGCACATGTGCACCACCACTCACATACATAGATCATGCACATACACAGTAACAATAAATAAAATAATTTAAAAAAATTAAACTGGACAAAAAACACAAACTTTTCTTTTTTGCTAATCACAACCACTTTTTTCTCCTGACCATACTTTTTTTTTTTAATTTCATGTGTCTGAGTGTATTGCCTGCATGTGTTTAAGTACACCCCTGTCACAATGCCCGTGGAGGTCAGAAAAAGGCATCAGAGTCCCTGGAACTGGAGTTACAGATGGTTGTCAACCACTATGTGGGTGCTGGGAATGGAACCCAGGCCCTCTGTAAGAGCAGTCAGTGCTCTTAACCTCTTAACCACTGAGCCATCTCTCCAGCCCACGCCCATACTAATTTTTTATAATAATTTCTTTATAGTTCCCAGGCTCCTCCTTTTAATGACCAAGTATACTCTGGGTATGGATGACTCAAAGTCTGAAGAACAGTTACTTTCCTTGGTTTCTTATTAAGCCTTTGGATCCGTATTAAAACATAAAGCTGAGGCTGAGTACAAGGGCCTGGGTAATGTCAAGAAAGAAAAAGAAGGGGCTGGAGGGATGGTTCAGCAGTTAAGACCACTGGTTGAGCGGGGGTCCTTTGCAAGAGTAGCCAGGGCTTTTAAAAAATATTTATTTTAATTTTTATTTTATGTGTATGAGTGTATTGCCTGCATGTATGTAAATGTACATGTGTTGTGCAATACCCAAGGAAGTCAAAAGATGTTGGAATCCCTGGAACTAGAGTTACAGAGAGCTGTTAGTTGACATGTGAGTGCTGGGAACTTGAACCCCAGGTCCTCTGCAAGAGCAGCCAGTGCTTTTAACTACTAAGCGATCTCTCTAGCCCTTGTGTCTGTTTTTTTCATCAAATATCTCTGGATATACACATACAGATACATGCTGTCTTAGTTCAGGTTCAATTTCCAGTACCCGCATGGTAGCTAACCATCCTTAACTCCAGCTCCAGGGAATCCAACGCCCTCTTCTGACTTACATGGGCATTGCATGACATGGGTGCACTTACATACATGCAGGCAAAACACTCATACACATAAAATCAAAACAAATTAAAACTTTAAAAATTTTAAAAAGAAAAGAAATGATCAGAGAAACAGAATCATAAGACTATTTGTGGATACAAAAGCTTTCCAATTGATTTTGTTTCTTTTGTCCTTAAGGGTTGGTTGGGTAACATCTGGTCTACTTGAATCAGACCCTTGTTTGGAGTCAGAGAGAACAATGCGCTGAGCAAAGCCACGCCTCTGACCAGGCTGTCTTTGCTCTTGTGGGAGTACTGTAGTATCTGATTTGTGGGAAGGACCCGCATCTTATCTGAGAAGCGGACATTTGTGCTCTCTTGGCTCCTTTGTTAAAGCAGGCCTGTTCACTGAAAGTGAATGAAGACTTGTCCTGCCATTCAGGACGGAATGCTAAGCTGACTTTGCTGAAGTCATTTTCCCAAGCATTTCTTTTATGTCCTTTATTTGTTTGCAGCAGGAGTTTCAATGTTGTAGTTAATTTCCTGCTTATCAAGATTTCATAAGCCTTGGGGCTGTAATCTCATTAGTATGCATAGTTTAGTGATTACAACTTTGTTTCTGAAACTTAACCTTTTGGAGGCTCTGGAAGGAACTGGATTCTATTAGAATCAAAGGTCGCTGTTGGCTCCCTGATTTCTGCTGGCTCTCTTTTAGAAGTGAACTTCTAGTGAAAGTCAGGTCCAGTTCTGAAGGAAAAAAAAATTCCCAGGGATCAGGAGTCAAATCCTTCCCTGTCATTCAAGCCTTGAGACTTCACAGAAAAGCTGCTATATTTCAGAATAAGTTGGGGTCACTCAGAGCACACTAAGGAAGTGCTTTTATTGAAGGAAAGTGTGAAGATGTTTTAAAAAATATTT